ATATCCAAAACAGTTAGGTCTTTAAGTCTTACAATTTCTATTGGATAACTACCAATAATCAATTTAAGTAAACACATTTTAGCGCGAGTTATTCCGTGGGTTTTCTCAATAAATCCTTCAGAAACCTTAGTAAAATTATTGCCAGGCCATTCTTGTACTCTTCAACTTTGTAAATTTCCCTCTTTTCGCGAGCATCAACATGCACAGTTCCACGTTAAGTAAAGTGTCATATCAGTCTTATAAAATCAGCAACCATTTGTCGTCAAAATGAGCATAGGCTGTTTTACTGTAACTCTGAGGAAAATTACTATCAATCAAATTCGCTAGTCATCCAAGGCAGAATCTAGGACCTACGAGCTCACAGAAACCAAACGTTACAGTTTAGATTTATTTAAAATTTCTTTTTGACTTTATGAGGCATGCTCACCTTTTCCTTCAGCAAATAGAAAGCAGCACTTCCAGCCACACGGCAATACAACTTGCAACGCTCATTATCCGCAACAGCTGTATACTTTGGCACCCAAGTTGTTCTTGCTGGGATGCCATGGATTCCCACATCCTAAATGCTTTTTAAGCACCACAAACTATGTAATGCAAGGAAAAACTGTAGATTACCTTGTTGTTGAATTCTGCACACTGGATCTCACGGAATCCTGGGGTATCCCACGGGCAGTCAGCGACATTGCATGAGCGATACCGTTCACGCTGACCAACGCAGTACTTGCCGCCATTTGCAGGCCTGGAGATAAACATAAACTATAGTAGGACAACAAAAATCACATGAGATTTCGTTCAAAACGATTCATTCTAGTTGAAAATTTTCAAAATCAAATCAGTAGGAATAGGATGCTGCTGAAAATTTGCTTGGAAGTGTAGAGCCTACTTGAGAGTTTACATAAAACGAGACCATTCTATTTCAAGGAAGTGTGTTGTATTTATGCGAATAAGAATGAAGCAAAGCAGCTTCATTATAATTTGCCTTACTTTTTTACGGCACTGATCTTAAAGACTCTCCTCTTTTACACACATATTCCATTTAAACTTTAACGAGAAACTT